TAAACATTTCTTGAATATTAATGATAAGAGTTGTTGATCAATTCTTGTACTTTCTCATATTCAATTGCAGAGTTGATAATGACTTATAAACCATTTTGTTGACATAGTTTACCTAGATCAATTGTATCAGTGTGGAGGAAAGTATCCAGAGACACTCAAGACTGTATTCAAACCCCGCAGTATAATAGTAGGATCGAGGAGCCTATCTGTTAATTTTATTGGACGAAACATATAATTTTCTTGGGCTATTTAAAGTTATACTAAACTTTTTCGAACGCGATGCTTTGGCTAACTCAGCAGTCTTGTCGTTCATTGGAAGACTAACAGGAGGGAGAATTTACATGAAATAAACTGATTTAGTCATAAGGAATTTTGGTATATGTGTAAGGCTATTATATATACTAGTGTGTATATATATATATATATATATATATATATATATATATATATATATATATATATATATATATATATATATATATATATATATATATCGTCAATCGCCAAGACTCGCAGGTGAACCCCAACGGCACACAGGTGAACCCTAATGGCACAGGTGAACCCTAACAGCATACAGGTGAACCCTAATGGCACAGGTGAACCCTAACGGCACACAGCTGAACCCCAACGGCACACAGGTGAACCCGAACGGCACACAGCTGAACCCCAACGGCACACAGCTGAATCCTAACGGCACACAGGTTAACCCTAACGGCACACAGCTGAACCCCAACGGCACACAGCTGAACCCCAACGGCACACAGCTGAACCCCAACGGCACACAGCTGAACCCCAACGGCACAGCTGAACCCCAACGGCACACAGGTGAACCCCAACGGCACACAGCTGAACCCTAACGGCACACAGCTGAACCCCAACGGCACACAGGTTAACCCTAACGGCACACAGGTGACACCCCCAAGACACGTAGATGGAACCCCCCACAACACACAGGTCAACTCCCAAGACACGCACACATACCCCTCCATGACGCAGGTGAACCCCCAAGACGCAGACTTCAGAACACACCTTAAGACACCTGTCTCATCTCCGGCCGCCACTGCTGGCCGACGGCATGGTCACCCTGCCCTTTGTTCTGGTGGGGGAGGCGGGGCACGGGATGACCTACTCCATGATGCAACCCACAACAGTTGCCCCCAACTCTAGGGCATATATATACTGCTAGATAAATAGACACATCAGGGGTAAGGAAACGTGGTAGGCTTGGCACGTTTCTTTCCAGGATGTGGCAGCCTGCCCCGGGAATCTAACTCGGATGAATACGAAATGGCGAAGAGGATGTCAGAATGATGGGAGCAGCGGCAGCTAAGAGAAGAAGGTTCGGAAGAGGAGGAGGAGCAGGAGGAAATAAAGGACGATGAAGGTAAGGTAGGGTAAGGATGAAGGTAAAAGCCTGGGGGGAAGAGCTAAGTCAGTACGACTATGTAACACTGGGACGGGAATATAAGGAGAGGGATCTAGGATAGGACGGAAGGAAGGAATGGTGCCCAATCACTTGGACTATCGAGGATTGAACGCCGACCTGCAAGAAGCGAGGCCTCTATTGTACCGACGAACCCAAGTGGATGGACTAATAAGATGAAGCTAGAATGAGAGTTACAACATAGAAGAGGAGGAATCGGATGTTCCTTGGCCTATGCATAGACAAGAGACTGAACTTTAGCACCCACATACAACACAGCCAAAAAAGTCTCAAAAAACGGTCGGTCTACTTTATAAAATCAGATATTATGTTCCCCCACTCTGCTCTCCTCCCACTATACTACGCACTAATCTATCCCTATCTTACACATAGTATCTGTGCATGGTGTTCAACCACTGCAAATTACTTCAAGCCTATCATCATCACTCAGCAAAAATCTGCTATCTGAACTATAACAAACTCTGTCTTCAGACTACACACAGCCCTCTATTTAAGTCCCTTAACATGCTAAACATACACTCACACCACATTCTCATGTGCTCTTTATATTTATAAAACCTTGTTCCTAAATGCTAATCCTGATCTGAAACTTTTCCTTAATAGGTGTAATAGAACCCATGAGCACCACATCAGAAATAAATATATCTTTGATATCCCCAGAGTCAGACTAAATCTGTGCAAACATCCCATGCAAATAAAAGGGCCCAGTCTATAAAACTCCCTCGTTGATGAATTAAAAAATTGTTCAACCCCTCCCCTGTTCAAAAGTAAAATAAAAAAGTACCTAATTTCATCCCCATAGTTTCAAACTTTGTACTTCATACTCACACTGTATCTTGTACTACCCACTTCCCCAATATTACTACTTGAGACATATATCCTTACCAGTGTAATCACCTCTTGTCAACTTATGTTGTAGTTATCTGTTGATATAAAAACCTTGCTGCAATGTATCCTTTAATCTTCCTGATATGTTAAGGTCCCGCCCGAAATGCTATACGTGTTAGTGGCTTTGCATGAATATAAAAATACCAAGCTTATGCAATCTCACCAACCCATTGTACCTTTTTGCAAATAAATTATTATTATTATTATTATTATAAACAGGTACAGTTTTTAATATTCACAGTAACAACACAAATTATCTTATTCAAGACGAAGAAATGTGTGTGTGAGAAACTTGTTACAAACCATTAAATAGATTTGCCTTTGCTTGCTTCTCTTTTAAAGTGGTTAAGTACAACGGTTTATTGCATTTTCGAGGTCATTGCATAATTTAGAGCCCTTGGTTTGCATGAGGTTTCTGCTTTGGTTGAGTCTTACTCTTGGAATATTAAATATATATTTTTTTCTCGTATGGAGGCCATGGGTTCTGTTCCAGCCTTCTGAAAAGCGTTTGAGGTCATGATTACTACTGCACTTTAGAATTATATATACATAGAATACATTTGAGAGTGTGTATAAGGCTTTTATATCTAAAGAGCTCAAGGTTTCAAATGGTGAGCAATAAGTAATAAAAGAGGATAAACAGTAGTCCAGCATGTGGTGATATGGTGCTGCTTTCAGGCGTCTTGTCCACATTCCAGTCACCCTCGGATATTGGAAGATATTCTCGTCCTTTTCCTCTCACCAAAGTTTACTAGTCCTAGTCCAGGCTAGTAGACTAGACTCGCATCCCATATGTTTCTCTGATTCCATGTATGACTAACAACCCTGTGAAATTGGCATATTAGATGAACTTACTGCTAGCTCTTGGTCAGTTATCAATAATCTTGTTCAGTAATCCCTCATATATAATAAGTTAACAGCATATTGTTGTGTGTTCCTAAGCTTGTTAATAAAAATAACAAATTGGTGTGTCTTCGTGACGTCTTTATATGACGTCTATATATTTTTCTGTGTCTCCTTTGTTTATGATGGCCCCTTCTCTATCTCTCTTAAATCTCCTTCCATGACGTATCTTTCTTGGTATTCCATACAAGTGTCTCCTCCCTACGTGCGTATATGAATGTTGGTGTGTGTTCCTGTGTGTATAAAAAATAACCTAATTTCATCCTCATAGTTTCCTACCCTGTGCTTAAAACACACTGTATCCTGTACTGCCCATTTCTCAAATACTAGTACTTGAGACACATATCCTTACCAGTGTAATCACCTCTGTTAACTTATGTTGTAGTTATCTGTAGAGATAAAAACTTTGCTACAATGTACCCTTTCATCTTACCTGATATGTTAGAGTAAGGACCTGCCCGAAACGCTATGTGTGTTAGTGGCTTTGAATGGATGTAAAAATACCAAGCTTATGTAATCTCACCAACCCATTGTACCTTCTTGCAAATAAATTATTATTATTATTATTAGTAGTAGTAGTAGTAGTAGTATTATGTTTGAGTATGTGCGTGTATGAGTGAGAGTGTGCATTTATGTATATGGGTGTGACACTAAATCAACGCAACATTGGGTTGTTAAAAACAGATTCTGACGTACAAACCTGCTCACATTTTTTAAAACGTTAACCAATCTATTCAGACAAGACTTCTCGTCCTATCTGTCCGGTCTTTGAAATGCAAGACCTTGTATGCGGGGCATAACAATGCCCAATACAACTACCAGAGGCCTTGTTCTAAACTATATTCGATTATATCTTAATGACAGACACCAATATGTAGCCATCAATGACATAAACTCTCACATTCTACCATTAACCACAGGAGTGCCACAGGGCAGCATCTTAGGAACTCTCCTACCTCTTACATACATCAATGTTTGGCCAAATGTTTCTAACATTCTTAAACTTATACTATTTCCTGACGATACTACCTTCATCTCCAATCTCAGATGGGACAGAAATTATTGGGCGCATTTCCTACCACCTAATACCCCCTGTCCACCTAGCAGTAAAAAGGTACCCGGGGGTTGCATACTGGGAAGAGTTAGTAATTCGACCTTGGGGAGACCTCGATATAAGCCTAATATATACTTTATGTATAAACTGGCTGCCTGTCCCCCGACAAAATGAATTGCAGTATTATCTGTTCGGACCCCACTTCACACACGCTAAATAATATTGTATATAATGATTTTAAAAAAAGGTCCACTTATGGTTGTCAACCAACAAACTCACACTAAACATAGAAAAGATATACTACATATTATTTGGAAATAATCATCAAACCAAAATCACCTTCAGATAGACAATGTTAATATTAGCATTAAAATGATGGGAAGTTCCTTGGCTTTTACATAGACAAGAAACTAAACTTCAGCACTCACATATAACACATATCGAAAAAAGTATTAAAAAATACTTATGGTATACTCACTGAAATCATATATTATTTCCCCCTGCTCTGCTTTCCTTTCACAATACTACTCACTAATCTATCCTATCTTACATACAGTATCTGTGCATGGGGTTCAACCACTGCAAATTACCTCAAGCCCATCATTCAAACAATTGATTTTTTTTATTCCATTCACTATTTCATTTTATTTCATTTTTATCCCATTTTGATTTTATTTTATTAATTTGTAAATGTGTTCGGTCAGCGTGAGAGCGAGGAATCGGACGCAGTGTTGACCTGAGTGGCCCAGGTGACCCTCGGGGGGAGGGGGGGACGGCCACTGCTGGCTCTCTCTCACTGACATATGCTACTTGTTTTACCTAAGTTTATTGGAAGAAGACGTTACCTACTAATCTTATCTACACGGTCTACTTGTGTCTGTTATCTACAGCAGATATACCCTGAAAGTGGTGATGGTAGACGGTGATACGTCTAGGTGTGTGTTGTGGTGCTCTCGGTCTGGGTGACGGTACACCCACCCACCACTAAGGTACTGATTTATCTCTCCTATTTTGTAACTTTGTGACACATTTATACACATGGAGGCCATATATAGGTATGAAAACTAGGTTAAAGCGGCCAGTTATTATCGGGTACACAACTTTTCCGTTTACATATACGGTAATTCAGTTATAATAATAATAATAATAAAAATCTTTATTTAGGTAAGGTACATACATAAAGAGATTTACAAAGTTTGTTGGCTTTATAGATAGAGTTAGTACATACAATGCCTAAAGCCACTATTACGCAAAACGTTTCGGGCAGTGTGCATTGCAGTTCTGCAATGTGTATTTTATTGTACTGTATTATTTAACCAAGACAAGCCTAACTCGATCAGATCGATCCTTCTCTAACAATATACAGTAAAAAAGTTATATAAATGATATATATATAAATGGTATTTGAACGTGCCCCATATTTTTTGCATAGTACTCGAGAAAAGCATGAATGGGTTACATTATTGCTACTTGTTAAACAAACCTACCATAACCCAACCTACCCAAATCTAACCTAAGCTAACCTAACAAAATAATAAATAATATTTAGTGTGTTATATATGATGGGCACAAAGTGTGATGTCACTCTGATGTAGTTTAAATGCAAATGTAGGTCTTAGATACGTCTGATATTATTTATGCTGATAAACTGATGTATTTGATACACTATTTTAAAGTAGGATGTTGCAATAGGAAGTGGTAACTATATAACCTCTGAATTTCATCCCAGATTACACAAACTGAAAAAACTATAAATGAAAAATAATTGTACAGTATTCATATTGTTTTGTGCCAGAGATTAAAATAGTATAAATGGGGTCAAGTCAGATTGGGAAAACATTGAGTGGAGTGCCTCAAGGCTCTGTCCTGGGACCTCTGTTGTTTACATTATATATAAATTGAGAGAGAAATAAACTCACTCAAAATCTCTTCAAGACAACCTACATACTGGTAGGTCAAAAGATTGGCAGATGCAGTTTAGTGCTGACAAATGTAAGGGTCTGAGGCTATAATGATAGTTACAGGATATCAGCTGGATGGTGTTGAAATTGCTGCCTTGTATGGGCCAGTAGGCCTTCTGCAGTTACCTTCATTCTTATGTTGTTCTTCTAAAGTCTGATTGTGAAAAAAGATCATAATCAGTAAGAATTTAAAGCCAGAAAATCAATGCATAAATGTTCAAAATAAGGCAAAGGTGGATACTGGGATTTATTTATAGGAATGTTAGCAATAAAACACCTTGAGGTTATCTTGAGGTTATCTTGAGATGATTTCGGGGTTTTTTAGTGTCCCCGCGGCCCGGTCCTCGACCAGGCCTCCACCCCCAGGAAGCAGCCCGTGACAGCTGACTAACTCCCAGGTACCTATTTACTGCTAGGTAACAGGGGCATTCAGGGTGAAAGAAACTTTGCCCATTTGTTTCTGCCTCGTGCGGGAATCGAACCCGCGCCACAGAATTACGAGTCCTGCGCGCTATCCACCAGGCTACGAGGCCCCTTGGTAATCCGTACCTGGTGTTATTCTTCAGTTATATCTTACTTTTATTAGGCTTTATTTATAGTATGCAGTTTAATTTTTGGTCACCATACTACAGAATGGACATAAATTCTCTAGAATGCATTCAGCATAGAATGACAAGGTTAGTTGCACAAATTTGAAACCTTCCAAATGATGAGAGAAAGAAAACGTTTAATTTATATTCGCTAGAAAAGCAGAGAGTTAGGGGTTACATGATTGAAATGTGCTAGTGGATGAATGAGCATTACAAGGGGGATATTAATAAGGTGTTAAATATATCAACATATAATACAACATGAAACAAAGGATATAAATTGAATAAACTTAGATTTAGGAAAGAGCTTGATAAATACTGGTTTTGCAACTGGGTTGTTGATTTGTGAAACAAATTAAACATACAGTATTTAATTTAATACTGTCTTATTCCCAAATAATTTTGTATACTCCTTCAATATCTTATATTTCATGCTCATGCAATTTTTATTAATAAATGCTTGAAAGGCAATAACTAAAGTACTGTACTATAATGAAATTTTACACAGAAATCATAAATCATTGCTGTATCAACATGTCTGCCAATTTCATCTCCATGTACAGTACAGTACTGAGAGAGATTATGTACTTATAAGTACAGTTCAAATCCGTACTGTACAGGGGAAATTAGTTTTTTTAGAAATAATATATTCTCATTTTAATACTGTACCAATACAGTATTCACATGTATTCTTTTAATGTAATAACTCATTGTCAAAGCTGAAGGTGAACTATCATTGTTTCAGATAAATTTCAAAATCTGCATTACCAATAATTTTGATGGCAATAAAGAGTAGTGCAATATGGGAGGCTTCAGTAAACTACTGCCATACACTTGTTATGAGCTTGGACACTGCTTCAATCACTCTTGTTGCTTTGCAAGTTTGGAAATATGCATCATTGGATTTATTGAGAGCTGCAAGATCTATGGACTAGTTTATTTGGTGAGTAAACTCGGTCTTCTCTTCAATATATACCAAATATTCCATTTTATCTCCTTGGTAATTAGGAATAACATACCAATATGTAAATATTTTTGTTTAAAAAATTGTGGCCTCTGTTCAATATTTGAAGAGCCCATTATGTATCAGTTTTAAATTTACAAAACTTTTGAATGGGACATTATTTACCTAGTTAAAAATCCTACCTAACAAATAGCATTTTCAAGGCTTGCATACAAGGTAGCTTCCCATATAATAGTCAGAACCAATCGATCCCCATAAACAAATAGGTCAGTATAAGGCTTCATTCTATGTCTTCTTTTTTGCTGCCTTCTTAGTTGACATAACCACACACCGTGTACGCCTCTCAGCATGTGCAGATGACATAACCCTGTACAGAAACTTCTCTAACAGCATCCCATTGCTTGGTTTGCATCTTCAATGTAAACAAAACTTGACCATCTCATTGACTGGGCACAGCAATTGGGTTACAAATCATTACTGCTAAAACCACTTTCTAGGTCTTTACCATAAATCAATTTCATCCAATTCCAGCATTTATTATAAATAATGCCCCATTCATTTTCAAATAAAACTTAAATACCTTTGTATGCTCTTGACTCTTTGGCTTTGGCATATAGCATATATAACCAAGGGCCCTGCTAAGACTCCTCATCCTTAAAGTTTTCACTAGCATCTTCTGGAGGCACACCACAAAATATTACTCTGCTTCTATACAACTTCCATCTAGATGAGCCAGTTCTGGTCCTAGTTCCTGGTAGGTCAGGGTGAATGTTGGAGGTTTGATGCTATTTTGAAGGGTTAGCTGTTTCAGCATTTAAGCTCAGAGAGCCTACCAGAATTATGTGTCTCATTATTTGTAATGCTTGAATTATAAATTAGTGTTGGTATTTCAAGAATTGCTATATTTATTCAAATTCTGTTATTTAAATACAGTAATAGCTTATTTTTTAATTTTCATCTCTAATGGTCATTATTGCTTTTCTTTCAGCTCACTGCACTCATAAAATCTCGGAAACTAAGCTTCGAATATGGACGGAAATTGTTAAAAGATTATATAACATCTGTGTGCTTTTTAACAGTCAATGCCTTTGGATACATTGGTTCCTTCTGTGTCTTAAGGTGAGCATGATTTTCATTGAAACATTACACCTATTATCACTTTAATTTCAGAGAATCGTGTTCCTTTTCCACCATATGTCATGGAAAAGTAAACTACAGTAAACTGGAAGATACAAATAGATTGCTGAACTGATATACAGTATACAAATATCAAAACTCTGAAGTGTAATACTAATCCTTATTTTACCTATTCAAAATACAATACTGTACAATATTGTAGATAAATGTAACTTACTAGTAGTAACCCATTTTCATAACAGTATTGTATACAAGAGTAATTACACCTATGTCTCGTCAATCATGAGGCGTGATAAGAAATAGACTGCCAAGAGAGGTGTGAGTTTGATGCACACTGTTGCGAAGGAGGGGGGCATAACATAGTATTGTATTTTTGACACATTCATTACTATTAATTCACAGTACTTGAAACCTGCATCTTTACAAACAAGGTCATATACTCAAGCTAAGGAAACAGAGCTGCCCAAAAAACCAATGAGCAGCTTTCTGTCCCCCAACCACGAGAAATCATTGGAAAACCAATAATAATAATTTTGATTTTTAACCTTACTTTCATTATATAGGTATTATATGTAATTAGTATTTTACTTTTAAACTCTTTTTAAGAAAATAAATGCTATTTTCAGGCACATTCTTGGTCATGTGAACTTCCTGTCTGCATCATTCCTGCCTGGTATGATTGGTAGTCTCATGGCTATAAATGTGGAACGACCAGAACGTAGATCCCTACTGGCCATTTACGTTACTAATGTGGTACAGTATTTTGATTGCTATATAGTATTTAAAACTCAAATGAGAATATGCATTTGTTGCTTAATATTATTTCATCCTCCTTGTAGTCCTTCAGAGATCATAGTATGTATCTCTTCATGGTAGTTCATTGGTATTTTTGCTTTATCTATTTCATAGATAACATTGTCGTTTTCCCACCTTTAGATGTCTGAGCCACAAGTTTTTTTTTTTCTCACACTATTGCTCTTGAGTTCAACAAAGTCATAACTACTACTCTTATTTCGTGTCCAATTCAATGTCAGTAAATTCTTAGGAAATGCTGCAAATATTGTTTAAATCATCTTATGGAATATGAAGATGTAGTCATATCTATATCCATACAAGTATATACAGGTCTGTATTTGTAGACGTCCTTTCTCCCAGTCTTAGAATATTGTGAAGATGTAATATATTTAGTATAAACTTATTACTGTTCTGAAAATAACTTTTGCAAGGATAGAATTTATTAAAATAAAGTTTTCTTGCAGGCATCAGAATGCTTGTGGAATGTTGCAGTGGGACATGGCTATGTGAAGGCCATTCCTCGAGGTGAAATCTTGGTATTTGCCGGGGCCATGGCAGTTTTAGGATACACTTTCCGGTCATCAAAGCCCTTTAGCAAACTAATGAACTCGATTCTTCAGTAAGTTTATTAAAACTTGTTTAAATATGGGCTTGGAAAAAGAATATGACAAAGTTAATAGAGAGAGATTTTGGAAAGTGACGAGCATGTGTGAAGTTGGCCGAGTTCTGTTAAGTGCTGCAAAACATTTCTATATGCAGTACAGTTTTTTCAATGCATGTAAAAGAATTAATAGTGTCATAAGTATCTGGTTTGCTATTAACACAGGTGTATGCCAGGATTAGGTAATGTCACTTTGGTTGTTCAAATTCAAATGTTTATTTAGGTAAAGTACATACATACAAGGGGTGATACAGATATTAATGAATTTATAGATAGAGCTAGTGCATACAATGCCTAAAGCCACTATTACGCAAAGCGTTTTGGGCAGGACAATATACAATATACAATTATACATGGATGGGGTTAAGAAGGTGGTCAAGGTAAGAATGTCAGAGAAATGCAGAGTAAGTGTACAGTTTTTACAGATGAGAATTATGATGTATGTATACATCTCCATTTATTTTATTATTTTTTATTATTTTAATGATGTATTTTAAAATAAAATTAGATATATATATACACACACACTAAAAGAATAGGGGTGGTAGGGGAAGAAAATATCAAAGTGTTCAGTGAGGATCCACAAGGTCTTCTCTGAGTACTCATTATTTTCTTCTCTGAGGCTATGGGTCCCTACACTTGCACCAGGGGTGGTACCCTTTTTATGTATACTAGATAATTTTTTTATTGTGTGATATATGACTTGGCCTAGAGTTCAATGTGGATAAAAATAAATTTATAATAGTGAAAAGAGAAGTTCAGTGTGTGAAATAAATATGAATGGTGAAGTGCAAAAAGTGATTGATCAACTTAAATACTTTAAATGTGTGTGATAAAAGAGGAATTAGTACAGTCAATGTTTGGTGTAAGGTGAGTCAGGATAGGAACATGTCGGGTGTAATGAAAACCATAGCTAGCAACTTAAGGATAGGAATGCTGTATATACAGCAAGAGGGCTGTATGGAGTAGCAGTGGCACCTTTGTGCAGGGATGCAAGATGGCAGTATGATATGAATGTGAAATATCAATATAGTAATACCAAAATAAAGTAACCCTTCAATAAACGTGTTTAACATCAGAAAAATAAAAAAGGAATGAAAAGATGAAGGAAATTTAGGAGTTCAAAAGTTGATAATCCACAAGATTGACACAGATGTACTGAAAAGAGCTGGGTATGTTAAAGAAATTGATGATTTTAAGTGAATTTGAGGGTAGGAACAGGAGTGGAAGGTCAGAAAGATAAGCAGACATGGTGAGGAGTGGATGAGGGAGCAAGGATTGTGTTTGAGCAATACTCTGCATATGGTAAAGGGACAAGGCTCGGTGGAAGCACTTTGTATGGAGGGAGTGAATGAATTTGTTTGTGATGTATGTGACAGTTCATGAAGAGCACTCCAGCTCTTCTCTTGGATGATGGTGTGTTAATGTGGGATGACTGCTGGTGTGGATTGAATGGTATAGCAAATGGACAAGGAATAATTTTATTTTTGTAATTAATTATGACGTACTTTCATTATACTGTACTGTACACTATTGAAAAACCTAAAGGCTGATACCTCCTCACCTCATGAAAGTGGGAAATGGGTGTAATGATAATGGGTGAATGGATGACAGCTGATAAAGTTTATGTAGATCTTAACTGCTTATATCTAAGGTTTTTATGTTGATTTGGAATTAACTAACAAGACAATTTGAAATCATAGTGTTATACAATTAGACTGACTGTAATTATAACTATCTAACTAAATATTTATAAAACAAAATTGATGAAGTAAGTTTTATATTTGTTTACACTGATCAATAGACAACTTAGAGATTAATCTGAGAGTTCCCATGTTAATTAATGAGTCAAAGTTAACCATGGATGAGCCTAAAGGCTAATCCACAAAAATGAATTACTGCCAAATTAGTAAGATGGATCTTTAATTTCGTATTGAACAAAAACCAGAGAGTAAGAATCATCAATGTAAAATCTTGCTCCCAGGGTACTGAACCTGCTCCAGTGTTCTTTCCCATTTTCATATGTCATTTACAATTACACAAACTATAACACTGGATCATCCTTTGCAGATGACACTGAACTATTTACAAGAGTAGAAACTAAAAAGGACACCGGAAACTACTAAACTGATGTAAACAAAGTCATTCTGTGGGCCACAGAAAACAACATTGTATCTGAAAAAAGTTCTAGCTTGTACACTATGATAAAAACAAAGTATAACCCAACCCATGTACAAAATAGTCAAACTATACTATAGAAAGAAAATGTAATGTTAAAGACCTGGGAGTAATCATGTCAGAAGACCTCGCTGTCAAAAGGAAACAGTAACGTACTGTAGCTGTCATGATTGTTAGGAAATTATTTGGGTTGCTTATAATCTCTCCAAGATTACTTTCTGAAGCACAGGCGAGAGAGATGCATCATAATTTACATTTGGAAAATATTGGAGGCACTAGTTCCAAATCTTTGCATTGAAAAAATCTTAATTGACCAGGAGGCATGGCAGAATATGTAAAATAGCGCCATTAAACTGCAGGGATGCAATGAGTACTCTTAAGAGAGAAGTTTTTATCAATATTAACACCATAAGAATTTTCATCCAAATTATTCCAAACATCCATGGTTCTGTTTGCAAAAGAAGAACTTTCACACATTGTTTCAACACTTGTTTTCTTAGCCTGAACCTTTAGTTTCTTGTTCTTGAAGTTGCAGGTTTAAAAATATTCCTTCTTGTCAACTTTGTTGATGTCTGTCATAATTTTTTTTTTCCCAGGGAATATTCCTGCGCGGGGCCCTAAGCCCCGTGCAGAAGGGACAGAAGTCCCTCAGAAGAGAAGTTGGGACAACTTCTGCTCTGTTGAATCAAAGTTGAAATCTTATTTGGTTTGTAAATGTGCACTGTGTTAGATAATGTTCCAGTGGTCTGTTGGGCATTTCTCCAGTGCTGACATTTCCTCTCATCTTCTGGAACCTGTAAGCCTATTTCCCATGCACATTGGTATTCAAGCCTGATGCAATGTAAGTGTACTTCTGTTGTTCTACTGCTCCCTTTCATCAAAATAGGTGGTTCGTAATTGGTTGAATTCTTGTTCCAACCCGCAGATCCTGATGTTGCAACTGTTGTGTTGTGGTCACGTGATGATCATATCACCTATTTTCCTTCTATCGACTTGCTTTGGCATATGTAATTACGTAAATTTTATTGCAGGATTAGTGCTATACTTGAGGTGAACCTTTTTTCCTGTAATCTTTGTGGGTTTGGGGAGGAGAAAGGAGTGTTTGTGATACTGGACAAAACTATCCATTCAGTAACTATCCTTAACCTGAATGACTTGGTATCATACTTTTCACACTTGACCATACTGTATATATAAACATTATTTGTTGGATACAAGAAACATTTGATGTGTTGCTATTGCCTTAGCCAAGGTCAGGATGGTGTCTTCCAGTCAGTTACTACCCTTAATCTGCCTGAGTGAGCATCTCCATCACATACATCATATAAAGACCTTTCTGTATTAAGGTTAAAGTTGGAATAAAAGTTTTAGAATGTAGTATGAAATAACTTTATCTTGTATTATATGTTTGGTTAATTTTATATTTCCCTTTTCCAGACTCATTTTAGGTGGTAGTGAATCAGGTCCGATGATTGTAGCTCGAAATGCGCGCGCACACAAGGAACTGCAGCATCCTCAGCCAAAGCAGAAGTCATGGGTTAGTTAATCTGCAACTTACTAATACGGTAGGCTGTACAATGCTGAGTGCTGTACTTGAAAAACTGCCTGAACATAAAAATACTGTACAATATATATATACTTGTTGATTTTTGTGGATTTCATTTTTATTTTCTTAACTTCCAGAGGACCAATGTGTCCATAATTTACAAGAGGGTTTCAAATCACTGGCTAGTTCTCAGAACTTTGTTTTCTGTCATTTGGAGCATGTTTAAAGTGCTTTGAAGTGTTTCTGGTGACCAGTTTATTACACCCTTACAATTGCTTAGTGGTTCATAATGGTGCAGAAAATGTAGATAGTTATACATAGTGTTTACAATGTAATAACAGCAAAAACAGTACGTTTCATTGTTCTAAGAATATAATATGGCGTGCACATAAGTGACAAAATATATTTGAGCATTCCGATGTTCCAAACATTTTATTGTACAGTATAAACTTAAATACACATAACTATCAACTTCAGTTATGTGCAATCACCTTCAATTTTCCTTATCATAAACACTAAAGGAAACCATTTAATTTATATATACATCATATTTTTTAAACTAGAGGTCAGTTTGGATCAAATTTGGAAATCTTTGTTTTTCTTTATGGTCACATTTCCTTTGAAAATTATTATAGAATATAGAAAAAATTATTTGGGCATGATTCGGGGCCTTAAGATAAGTTGATCGGTGTTGCTTATAGTGGGGAGGGAGTGTATTTGTACATGTGAACACTTGAGTAACCTTATTAGCAAATTTTTCGCCTTGAGTTTTGCTGGCTATACAGTATTTATTTAGTAGTGTTTTTATTTTTTCCACCAGTTCTGGAGACTGTCGTCACTGTTTACTCGCTCTCATCCATTGTGTCCTCATAAACGTGGCTGTCTTCCAAACTTTGTTATGGTGAGTTATAGAAACATTCTCTTCAATCATAAAATCATTATCTACTTTCAAATTTCATTTAGCTATTCATTGATATCTCTGGCCGAACATAATCCTTATATTTTGTGTGGCAAATATTAAGAACACTGCAAGGCAAATCCACAAGGGCCGTGATGAGGATTCGAACCTGCGTCCGGGAGCATCCCAGACACTGATTTCTGTGTGTACTGCAAGGCAAATTTTGCAGCAATGATAATTATGATAGTTTGAGATACAATATGTATCTTGGTATTTTCAAGTGATGGCTCCCTGCCTTAAATAAGGAAAAATAAATATATTGATCAATTTAATTTGCAATTAGAAAAAATCTAATCTGTGATGGGGGTAGTCAAGTTTAACATTTCTCATGAATTGCCAGTTATCCTCCTGGCCACCACCTCTGACTGCCAACACATAGTAGTGTCCACACCTACTGAAACACCAGTTTCAGATACCCTACCTTGAATCTTAGCTCATTCTGACTGATATACTCACTTGTATGTGCTTGCATGGTAAACTTTAGGTCCTGAACCCCATTTTTCAGTTATGCAGTACTGTACTAGTACTGTACTACTGTAAAACATCAGTGATTGTGTCATGCAGTTTACAGATATTTGCCAAGAACATTTCTCGTTGTGTCATGCATTCGAAGGGTTAGAACTACAGTATGATAAAGAATATATGAAAGATTGAATGCCATGCATTTTAGCTCTTTCTGTAACTACAATTAGGTAATTACACATGAATGGATGTGCATGAGAGAGACATGCACTTGTGTGCATTCAACATTCCTGATGATTTCTGATGCACTCCATCTCTATTGGACTTGTATTCATTATACTTTCATCTGCCTCTGATAACTATTTATAGATTTTCAGCCTTTCAGATTTAACTTGGCAATTCAGGTCTTATGAAGTGGAGGAGTGCTTTTGTGAATAATTGCTGGAGTGTGGCAGTGTTTGTTTATGTGAGATCCTATATTATGTTTGTGACTTAATAAATTGAGAGATTTTTGTAATAATTATATCTTCCACTGTATTGTTTCTCATTTAGTGAAAGTGAGATAAGGAGTAATAATGATGTAATGTACTGTACATTATATATGTATGTATGTATGTACTGTATTGTTTCTTTTAGAAATGGCATAGAAATTCATGTTGAATTGTTATTTCCTCAGATGGGTGTCCAAGGATTTTTAAAGGGCTTCCTTCTGCAGTTTGCAGTCAAATTCATGTCATCATTTCCAAGATTATTAAGAAGCCCATCAAAGCTCCATGGCTTGTTATTTAGCAGAAACAACGTCAATGCTGGTCTATTCTTTGCTTGGTTTATATCAGTATTTAAGGTGAATATTGATTAATGATATTTACAAAACATAATGGGATAGGCCTACATAAAAACTATGATTTTAAAGAATGTGAAAAGTTCCTTAACTCCTTTATGAGTTAAGATCTTTCATTATCTCATTGGGGAAGCTTATGCACCAGTGCAACAGGAATATTTCAGATTTAGCAGTCCCGTGGCATTAAATTTTTTACCCAAGAAAGTCAATGGTAAAGTTCAACCTACGAAAATAGTTGAGGATGACGATAGAGGGAAAAAAAAAGAGATAATTCATAGTGAGACAATGTGATGTCTCACTACAGACAACTGTTAAAACGTAGGGGAAAACAAGTCAATAGATAGATTCTTAGTAAAACAAGCAAGCAGTGAGCCACAACCAGGTCCTAGTGGTATACCTGCAAAACGTAAGAGTTTTGTAGTACGTAAGAGTACCCCAGAAATGTCATCACTGCTGTTAAATTGGAAGGGGACTTCCCTTCCAAACACTAACACCTCTCCTCTTGCCTCCTTCCTCACTGTCCTCCATATGCCAACAAGAGTCCTCAATAAAGGTAAGATATATTTTGTACTACAGTATGTATTGTACAAGTATAAGTACAGTAGTAGTATGTATAAAATCTATTTTTAAGGTAATACTTTTTGGGGGGTGGAATGGATTAATTAAATTTACATTATTTCTTGTGGGAAAATTTGTTTTGGTTTCTGAACCATTTTTGAGAACGCATTAAATTTGAAAACGAAGGTACCACTGTATATATAAATAAATAAATAACAATGTTAGGTTTAATGACAAAAAATTTCAGTGTGTTTTAGCTTTGCCAATAGCAACCTTAGTGGTTATGATACTACCATTGCTTTATTTCATTTTATTAATACTGAATCTATATATTATTTCTTTCGTGATTTTTTGTTTAGTACTTTACCATATACAGTACTGTATTATTTGTTTTATTTTATTCAGCAGTAATGATCTCTGTAATGATACTAGATGAATTATTTATAAATCTATCAAACCTATTGTCTCTTGCACTTTCCCTGCTGGGTACAGAATTATTTTTATCTGAGATTGTAATGTTTGTTGTATTTTGTGAATACCGTGCTCAATCTTTGTCTCAGTTTTGCCCCTTTAGAAATCAGGAAAGTGAATAATTTTGAGAAGTACATTTTGAACATTGGAAGACGGAGGCTCTTCAAGAAATGCTTGAACAGCAATTGTTGTGAGTTGGGCAAAAAATGAAGAGTAAACAACACACCCAAAGAGCAGGAGACGATGATATTTCAGTCTGTCCTGGACCATTATAAAGTTGATTGTGTAAAAAAAAATTATTCGTAAATACAGTAGTAAAGAACTACTGCTATTGCAGTCAGGAGCACTCCTGACCACTGCTTGACAGATGCTAAACTATTATAAAACTCGCCAGTTCAGTATTTTTGATGCTACAAAATACCAATGAGTTTTTATTTACACCCAGGCTCACCTTCTGCTAGGAAGTAATCTGATGCATAAAATCAGTTAATGCTGATTGCAGAGCAATGAAATTATTCTTATATCACAGGATGAATATCCCCAAATGTCTCATCAAAAAGGTTAAACTGGATAAACTTCCAACTGTCAATTAAATATTTTTAGATATGGTAATTTTCATGTGTAATGGTATACCTGTACTGTATTATAAATTCTATTTTAGTACTTATATAAGAATAATAATTTTTAATAGTATAAAACACTAATAAATCCATTTTGTATTTCGTTATACAGTATTGACATCGGTAGTATACATTGCACAGTTGTTGTATTTAAAATTAAAATTTGTGTGTGTAGGGGACGTGTTGCGCTGGGCGCTGGTGGCATGGGAAGGAGGCGCCATCGCACGGAGCAGTTGCTGGTGTGCTGTCGGCTCTTTCAATGTATTTCTACTCTGCCCCATCTATTGCACTTTATATTATGTGGAAAGTTCTTGAGGTGAGATTTTATCTGATACTGTAGTTTTTTTACTAGTAAAATTCATGGTATAAAAATTCTGTAGATTATTTATGTCTAGTGTATATTTAGTATATATCTCTGATGCCTTGTTCTCTGTCTGGCAACTGCCTATATCCTGGCACTTTCCTCATAGTAAAATAATAAAATAAAAAATAAAATAAATGTTTATTTAGGTAAGGTACATACATACAAGAGATTTTACAAAGTTTGTTGGATTAATAGATAGAGCTAGTACATAAAATGCCTAAAGCCACTATTACGCAAAGCATTTCGGGCAGATAGCTCACCTCAGTTTGTGGCAGTGATACTGATAAGCCCACACTCCATTAGTCAGGCTCCCAAGACTATATCTGCCGATCAGTGACAAATATCATTCCAAGGATTCTATATTGTCTCCTCAAAGGTGCAGAGACCATATGAGAACCAAAGGTCAACTCCCACAACATTGAGAAATATTCACAGAAATCAGCCACCATAAAAAAAAATGGAAATTTAATAATTACCAAAAAAAATAGGAAAACATCAGTGCTAATAATGTAATCACACCTAATCTTCCACCTCTTTCCTTGCCACCAGGTGGCACCCAGCCATGCTCGGGGACCTGGAAAGGTGAACCATTCACGCTTGATCCTACACTGAAAGTGAAGGGCTCAGAGGAGGGAAACAAGGGTGGATCTGAGAAGTTACTAAAGGCCACCTAGAAAGAGAGTTCATTACACTTAATGCAGGTACCCTCAGTAGCTCCCATTAGTTTCTTCACCATAGAGCCTGGATAAGAGAATAAAGAAAAAGTTTTCTTGTCAAGACACCTTGACATAAAATTAAAGAATTAAACTCAAAGAAAAACAGGACACTGGCCTATGACACACCCATACCCCACATGCTTCATGTGTGAAAGTGTCTGGCCTCCAGCCTCAGACAGACACCTTCTCTTTTTTAGTTATTGTTTGTAAATAACAGCGTAATGGATCCCTGAGACTCTCCACTTTTGCTTCTGTAATGTTCGCACTCAGATTTCACTCCATTTATGCTAACTCCCTGCCAATACACAAGATTAGCTTGTACCTTTGTAATCAGTCTTTCGTGAGGCACAGTACCAAAGACTTTGCTAAATTCAAGAGTTTCATTTTTGCATTTCTTTCCACTATCAACAACTACAAATATACTGGAAAAGAATATAAAGAATTTATATTCAGGAAGGCACTGAACCTAGATTTAAATAAGTCAGTGGGACCAAGCTACACTACCAGCTAGATTAGGGGAAATAGGCGTACGAAAGGCAACTGCGGTAGCACTTCAGGCATTTTTATCCTCATGCACATCAGCCAACAAATTATGTAGTAGGGAAGATCCTACCAGAGCGTATGAGAAACTCAGTGGGAACTCATGATCCAAAGTTCATCGAAGCAGGCAGTCAATGGGAAACCATTGCACACCCTTTACCCCGACCACAAGCCCCAAAAGACCACAAACAGGTTTGCTGAAATAGCCCCATAATGGAAAAGGCTGCCACAACAATCTTTGAAAATGCATCTGCTGAGAACAAAACCCACCTCCTAGCGGTAACAGCATCCCATGCCTGTGATTTTTTATTTACTGTGCCCAATGCAGCCCTGGGAACTCGCCTCAGTCATGATGCCCTCCACATTGGAGTTGATCTTTGCCTTGCCGCCCCCATCCTCACGGAATATAGGTGTATCTGTGGAAGTGAGATGGCAGACCAATATGGTCATCATGTCTGGTAAGTTGTAAATCACAGGGTAAGATTGAAAGACATGAAATCAATGCCAACATTAAGAGGTGCCTCGCCTCAGCCCGCTGCCCAGCACACACACCACCACCTATTTAGGCCCAACGAACCTCAGAAGCGTCCAGACTAAGTCACAATGCTTCCTTGGAAGGATTGCAAGCAAGTGGTGTGGTGTAACAGTGCTAGTATTTTGCACTCTTTCATTGTATCATCTGAGTTTTTCTATCTACCCTGTAAAGGTGAGAAAGTAAAGCAAAGTAAGGAAGAAAGGGAGGGGAGGAGGAAGGAGGGATAGAGCGGGGACAGACATGGATAAGGTTGAGGGGGAACTCGTCCATCTGGCAACAGAAAACGAGAGGCGCACGGGAAGAGTGGAGGTGGGAGAAATGAAGGGAGGAGGAGGGGGAAGGAAAGCTGGAATAGGATTAATTTAGGAGAAGTAATAGAGAGAGTAGGGAGAGTAGCCTGATTGTTATTCTATTATACTATCTATGATGTTATGCTGACTGATATTCTAAGATGTGCTGATGTTGTTATTGATGTTAATTTTACTTTACATGTTTTAATTCTAAGCTGCCACCACCTGCCCTTGAAACTAAATATAAATTCCACTTATTTAAACAATGCGACAGGAACACTGCTTAATTTAGTTATCTCTCACTTGTTCATCTAGATATCTCTAGCCTTAACTCTTACTTGAGGGGACATTGATTCAAAAAGAGGACTGAACAAAAGTCAAGCTTGTTATTCTACACATAGATATTTATTGGATCAAATTATTTCAAATCATTTCAATTTCCAGCAATTGATATTTAACACTTTGACATTCTATTATTTAACACAATATTTACCAAATTGAAAGGTAGGGGGGATCACCCACTCCATACACGCCCACACCATACATGGCTAAATGGTTCAGCTCGTCACCACTAAGACGCCCGATCACTAAGACAATGCAGTACTGACACTCTTACCTCACATATCGGACGGATACACCCTGAGTGTGCCTGGGGTGTCACCCGTCAGGGTGGGAAGACTGGCTGGTCACCTCTGTGCAAGGCGGTCGCTAACTGCCCAAAACACCTCGCTGGTCGAGCGAGGGGTGGGTACTCTCCCAAGCCAATACAACGGGCTCCAGTGGGACTACACTACACTACACGCTTCCATACTGGCCAGTACCTACCTCCAATACAACAAAAGCAGAGGTGGTGGCACTGCTTCTTTCAGGGAAACACAGAAAGCCATCAAATACAGAGGTCTGGCACACTGCTTTGTTCCGATCAGTTCAAAGACCCTCGGTTCGTGGGGAAAATGTGCTTTGAAGTTCCTGGAGGAACTGGGCGACAAATTGATAAGTTTTACAAAAGACCAAAGAGCGAAAAGCTTCGTGTTCTAATGCCTCGGTGTTGCAATTCAGAGGGAAAATGCGTGCTGCATCTTGGGCATGAGTCCAACCTCGGAAGAGTTCGAAAAGGTGTTTCACTTGCAACAGTGATCGAATCTGTGACTTTATTAATGTATCCCATCAGTGTGTTTTTCATTTTACTTGTAATGGTCATGTTGTGTATGTGTTAATGCCACATTTTGTAATCATGTGCAATAAAGTTCCCTATAAAGGTACAGTATATATAACAATATATAAGGAGGATAATAGAAGACAATGTGCGTGTCAGTGCACGTAAGAGCCTGACAAGGCTTCCCCGGTACTACATATTCTCTTCTTTGAGAATTGAGGGGTGCCTACAAATAGCCAGAGGTGGTACTCCCTCATATATATGTAATAAGAATTTATATAGTGTATATACTGTGTGTACTCACCTAGTTGTACTCGCCTAGTTGTGCTTGCGGGGGTTGAGCTCTGGCTCTTTGGTCCCGCCTCTCAACTGTCAATCAACAGGTAATTACCTAAGTGTAATTACCTAAGTGTAGTTACAGGATGAGAGCTACGCTCGTGGTGTCCCGTCTTCCCAGCACTCTTTGTCATATAACGCTTTGAAACTACTGACGGTCTTGGCCTCCACCACCTTCTCACTTAACTTGTTCCAACCGTCTACCACTCTATTTGCGAAGGTGAATTTTCTTATATTTCTTCGGCATCTGTGTTTAGCTAGTTTAAATCTATGACCTCTTGTTCTTGAAATTCCAGGTCTCGGGAAGTCTTCCCTGTCGATTTTATCAATTCCTGTTACTATTTTGTATGTAGTGATCATATCACCTCTTTTTCGTCTGTCTTCTAGTTTTGGCATATTTAATGCTTCTAACCTCTCCTCGTAGCTCTTGCCCTTCAGTTCTGGGAGCCACTTAGTAGCATGTCTTTGCACCTTTTCCAGTTTGTTGATGTGCTTCTTAAGATATGGGCACCACACAACAGCTGCATATTCTAGCTTTGGCCTAACAAAAGTCATGAACAATTTCTTTAGTATATCGCCATCCATGTATTTAAATGCAATTCTGAAGTTAGAAAGCATAGCATAGGCTCCTTGCACAATATTCTTTATGTGGTCCTCAGGTGATAGTTTTCTATCTAGAACCACTCCTAGATCTCTTTCTTTATCAGAATTCTTTAAAGATTTCTCACATAATATATAGGTTGTGTGGGGTCTATGTTCTCCTATTCCACATTCCATAACATGACATTTATTAACATTAAATTCCATTTGCCAAGTGGTGCTCCATATACTTATTTTGTCCAAGTCTTCTTGAAGGGCATGACAGTCATCTAAATTTCTTATCCTTCCTATTATCTTAGCATCATCAGCAAACATGTTCATATAATTCTGTATACCAACTGGTAGATCATTTATGTACACAATAAACATCACTGGTGCAAGAACTGAACCCTGTGGTACTCCACTTGTGACATTTCTCCATTCCGATACATTGCCTCTGATTACTGCCCTCATTTTTCTATCAGTCAGAAAATTTTTCATCCATGATAGAAGCTTACCTGTCACCCCTCCAATATTTTCCAGTTTCCAGAACAACCTCTTATGTGGAACTCTGTCAAAAGCCTTTTTTAGGTCCAGATAGATGCAGTCAACCCAACCATCTCTTTCCTGTAATATCTCTGTGGCTCGATCATAGAAACTGAGTAAATTCGATACACAGGATCTTCCAGATCGAAAACCATACTGTCTGTCTGATATTATATCATTTCTCTCTAGGTGTTCTACCCATTTAGTTTTGATTAGTTTTTCCAATACTTTCACTATTACACTTGTCAATGATACAGGTCTATAATTGAGGGGGTCTTCCCTGCTGCCACTTTTGTAGATTGGAACTATGTTAGCCTGTTTCCACCCGTCTGCTACGATTCCTGTACACAGGGATGCCTGAAAGATCAGGTGAAGTGGAATGCTGAGCTCAGATGCACATTCTCTCAGAACCCATGGTGAAACGCCATCTGGGCCAACTGCTTTGTTCTTACCGAGCTCCTTGAGCATTTTTTCCACTTCGTCTCTAGACACCTCTATGTGTTCTATGTTGTTCTCTGGAATTCTTATTGTATCTGGTTCCCTAAAGATTTCATTTTGTACAAACACACTTTGGAATTTTTCGTTTAGTGTTTCACACATTTCCTTTTCATCTTCCGTGAATCTATTTCCCATTTTCAACCTCTGAATATTATCCTTTACCTGCAATTTGTTGTTTATGAATTTATAGAATAGACCCGGTTCTGTTTTACATTTGTCCGCAATCCCTTTTTCAAAATTTCTTTCTGCCCCTCTCCTCACTGCCGTGTAGTTGTTTCTCGCATCTTTGTATCGCTGGTATGTTTGGGGGTTCGGGCTCTTCCTGTATTGATTCCATTTTTGTGTCTTTCGGTCTCTAGCCCTCTCGCAATTTCTATTGAACCAATCCTGTTTCCTAGTTCTGCATCTCTGTTTTGGTATAAATTTTTTTGTGCCTTTATCATATATTTCACAAAACTTGCCATACATCTCATTCACTTCCTTGCCTAGCATCAAGTCTGTCCAATTATACTCACTAAAAAAATTTCTAAGGTCACCATAATGTCCTCTCCTGAAGTCTGGTTTTTCAACTGCTTCAACCTCCTTATTTTCTTCCAGCTTATAACGCATTGCATACTTTATTCCCAAAAAGACATGGTCACTGGTGTACAGGTTCCTGAGCCTATTGGGCTCTATCATATCTACACTTGAAACTGTGTATGGAGTCAGCCTCCACCACATCACTTCCTAATGCATTCCATTTGTCAACCACTCTGACACTAAAAAAGTTCTTTCTAATATCTCTGTGGCTCATTTGGGCACTCAGTTTCCACCTGTGTCCCCTAGTGCATGTGCCCCTTGTGTTAAACAGCCTGTCTTTATCAACCCTGCCGATTCCCTTGAGGATCTTGAATGTGGTGATCATGTCTCCCCTAACTCTTGTCTTCCAACGAAGTGAGGTTTAATTCCCGTAGTCTCTCCTCGTAGCTCATACCTCTCAACTCGGGTACTAGTCTGGTGGCAAACCTTTGAACCTTTTCCATTTTAGTCTTATGCTTGACTAGATATGGACTCCTTGCTGGTGCTGCATACTCCAGGATTGGTCTGACATATGTGGTATATAATGTTCTGAAAGATTCCTTACACAAGTTTCTAAAGGCTGTTCTTATGTTAGCCAACCTGGCATATGCTGCTGCTGTTATCCTCTTGATATGAGCTTCAGGGGACAGGTCTGGCGTGATATCAACCCCCAGGTCTTTCTCTCTCTCGGACTCTTGAAGTATTTCATCTCCCAAGTGATACCTTGTATCTGGTCTCCTGCTTCCTACCCCTATCTTCATTACATTACATTTGCTTGGATTAAACTCTAACAGCCATTTGTTCGACCATTCCTGCAGCTTGTCCAGGTCTTCTTGAAGCCTCAAGCTGTCCTCCTCTGTCTTAAGCCTTCTCATAATTTTGGCGTCGTCAGCAAACATTGAGAGGAATGAGTCTATACCCTCTGGGAGATCATTTACGTATATCAGAAACAGGATAGGTCCAAGTACAGAGCCCTGTGGGACTCCACTGGTGACTTCACGCCAGTCTGAGGTCTCACCCCTCACTGTAACTCTCTGCTTCCTATTGTTTAGGTACTCCCTTATCCACTGGAGCACCCTACCAGTTACTCCTGCCTGTTTCTCCAGCTTATGCATCAACCTTTTATGGGGTACTGTGTCAAAGGCTTTCCGACAGTCCAAAAAAAATGCAGTCCGCCCACCCGTCTCTTTCTTGTTTAATCTTTGTCACCTGATCGTAGAATTCTATCAATCCTGTAAGGCAAGATTTACCCTCCCTGAACCCATGTTGATGGGTTGTCACGAAGTCTCTTTTTCTCCAGATGTGTTACTAGGTTTTTTCTCACAATCTTCTCCGTCACCTTGCATGGTATACAAGTTAAGGACACTGGCCTGTAGTTCAGTGCCTCTTGTCTGTCACCCTTTTTGTATATTGGTACTACATTAGCAGTCTTCCATATTTCTGGTAGGTCCCCCGTTTCCAGTGACCTACTGCACACTATGGAGAGTGGTAGGCAAAGTGCTCCTGCACACTCTTTCAATACCCATGGCGAGAATCCATCCGGCCCAACAGCTTTTCTCACATCCAGCTCCAATAGGTGCTTCTTGACCTCATCTCTTGTAATTTCGAACCTATCCAAGGTCACCTGGTTTGCTGTCACCTCTTCTAGCGCCGCGACATCTCCCTGTTCTATTGTAAAAACCTCCTGGAACCTTTTGTCGAGTTCTTCACACACCTCTTTGTCATTTTCTGTGTACCTGTCCTCGCCCACCCTAAGTTTCATCACCTGGTCCTTCACTGTTGTCTTCCTCCTGATGTGACTGCGTAGTAGCTTTGGTTCGGTCTTGGCTTTATTAGCTATATCATTTTCATACCTTTTCTCAGCTGCTCTTCTCACACTGACATACTCGTTCCTGGTTCTCTGGTATCTCTCTACTTTCTCTCTCTACTACTCTGTGTGTGTGTGTTTACTAGTTGTGGTTTTTTTTTTTTTTTTTTTTGCGGGGGTTGAGCTTTGCTCTTTCGGCCCGCCTCTCAACTGTCAATCAACTGTTTACTAACTACTGTTGTTGTTTTTTTGTTTTTTTTTCTCTCCCCTCCACACCACACACACACATACCCACCCCAGGAAGCAGCCCGTGACAGCTGACTAACTCCCAGGTACCTATTTACTGCTAGGTAACAGGGGCACTTAGGGTGAAAGAAACTTTGCCCATTTGTTTCTGCCTCGTGCGGGAATCGAACCCGCGCCACAGAATTACGAGTCCTGCGCGCTATCCACCAGGCTACGAGGCCCCCCGTGTGTGTGTGTGTGTGTGTGTGTGTGTGTGTGTGTATATATATATATATATATAAACTGAAAACTCCACTCCCCCAAAAGTGACTCAAACCCATACTGCCAGGAGCACTAAGCAACTGGTGTACAGGAGACCTTAACCACTCGACCATCAGTGACCATACAAAAGATGATGGTAGCTGAGGCAATTTTGCCCATCATCCCGACGGCACTTTGATGGTAATCTTGGGCATGGTTATTTGATCAAATCACCTCACTTTGTGGGGCCATGTGAGCAACACAAATGCAAACAAATCTGAATGGTCCCCATGCAACTGAAAATAAATCACCACAAAGTGAGGTGATTTGATAAAATAAATATGCCCAAAATTACCCTCAAAGTGCTGTCGGGATGATGAGCAAATAGCCTCGGCTATCATCATCTTTTGTACGGTCACTGATGGTCAAGTGGTTAAGGTCTCCTGTAAACCAGTTGCAAAGGGCTCCTGGCAGTATGGGTTAGAGTCACTTCTTTTTCAAAAATATATATATATACAGTGGCACCTCGATTAACGAATTTAATTTGTTCCGGCACCAAGCTCGTCATGTGGAAAACTCATCTTGCGTAACAACAACAAAACTGTCATCAGAGGTGTCTGAGAACCAGTGGGAATGCTCATTAATCGAGCGAAAACTCGTCAGTCGAGACATGTATTCTGCGAGTGGCTTGGTCGTTACTCGAAATGCTCGTAACTGGAGCCGCTCGTCACTCGAGGTTCCACTGTAAATAAAGGGTAGATAATAGTGTAATCAGTGTTTTTCTGTGCATAGTATTTAATGTTGTATAATTTATATTATAAATCAACCTGCAGGGTGTGTATGAAAAGGGTTGTGATGAGGGTTACCTCCCTCGTATTCCCGGGTCTGTGGAACTGCTCTACTCACTGTCTACTGGTTATCTCTTTCACGTGGCTGTGATAGAGAAGTGTTACATGAAACCGTCTTACTGGCGCTTTCTCAAAAGACTAACGTGGGGCAGGTTAGTGAATTTATATATTCTTGTGATATACATAGTAGATATTTGCTCTATTGTCCATTTTATTTTATTAGAGAATACAGTATGAATTTTTACTTCAGTCAACCATCTAAAATTCAAGATGGTTATGTTCAAGCCAAATGCCAATTTTGTATATTTTCAGGTGGTTTCATTTACCGTTCCAGTTATTCCCCCATGTTAGTCTAGCACATGCTGTAACTATAAAAGTTCTTTTGTGTAGTCAATATATTTTGTTGTTGTTAACTTTGTGTATAATGATATACTGTGCATGTATAAGATGATAAATGTTGTAAAGCAGAGTATTATTTATGAGCTGTCACACTGAATTACTCCCAAAGGTATGGCATACTCTGGAGTCATTAAGAGTCAAGCAGTACAGAACTCGATCACTGGATGCAGGAATATTTTCAAATTGCATTCTTTATTTTCAGGTTGTGTCACTACAACCGTCATCTTCTGGCTCCTTTTGGATTGGACAGTGCTAAAGATTTTGAACACTTTTGGCCAAATTATGATCCAAATTTCATCAGTGAAGCTGTTAAAAAAATGAATCCAAATCACATTTCATAGCCGAGAGTCTGATACAATTGCAGAATGAGTAGATACAATTAATTGGTGCTGTATTGTTACATTTATAATGAAAAATGTTGACCATGTTATTATTTTAAGTTTTTAAATGTCCTTTCCTTTTAAATATTTCAAACTTTTCCAGTGTAGTATTTTGCTAATTAATTGTTTCCAGATAAATGTTAATCACTTTGATGATATTTTGGATGAAGTTTAAAAGATTAAAAGGTGAGTAATATTTGTTACATTTGACTGTTCAAAGTCCAAGGTTCCTAAACCAAATAACACCAAGACTCATAAAGGATTTAAATATATTAACTTTATAATAAGAAAGGAAGCAATTTACCAAAAGGTGTTATTTAGTGATTACTGTAGCCACCCAGTCTCGTATCTTACCATATTCCATGCATTGTTGGTACTCAATCCCCATTTTGTGCTGTGCTTACTTACTACTGTCAAAAAGTCCTTCCTGTTTTTTGTATAGTTTTTAATTTTTCTCAATATTCCCTCATTGCACTTATATTTTTATGTTTACTTTTTTTCTTTTTTTTTTCTGGCACATTTTACTCATTGTGCAATACAGTACCTTTGTTATCTTCTCCCTCTCCTGTTCACTTTGTACTGTATCTATAAACTCCACTTTTTATATTTACTGCTGTGCTACTTCCTCAGTACCCAAGGCACTGTGCATTTGCAGTAATAATAGAGTATCCTGGTGACCCCACTTGTCACTTGGGGGTTCTTGACCGACATGTTCCATAACTGCATTGTAGCAAGCAACAGCAGATTGAGTTAGTGTCCACTCTTCCCTTCCCCAATAATGTGGCAAAAAAACTTGAAAAGTTGCTTGTCACTGAGGGGAGACAAGTTGCATAAGAGCCTCGCAAGTAAATTAAGTTCTCTGTGGGCTATGTAGGTTCTGACTTGGGGAGTAATTAAAGGACATGGAGCATTTCATTTCACTCCATGCCCTGTTTTTACACCTGGTTAGCAGATGTTGAGAATTCTTGGCCTGAGCACTGGTGCCCTTGGGGTGGTCACAGTAGTTCCCAGTTTCCTTTACTATCAGTACCAAAATGATGGTTTTCTGTGATATCACTCTTAAGTAATACACTCTTATCTTAATTTCAAGTTGGTCTTTAAGAGCTAGAAATAGATGATAACTAATGTAATCTAATGTTACTATCAAATGGAGGAAAGTTTTTTATTTGAACACTATATATTCAGATTGAATCAAAATTTAATAATGTAAAAACAGGACATTCAACCCACAAATCAGAAAATGAAAAATTGATAATGTTATAGTCCATCCTGGACCATTTTCAAGTTGTATAATGATAATAACTTTATAATGGTCCAGGATGGACTGAAATGTTTTTGCACAATAAAGTGGCCGACAGCCGAAGCAGGTAACGTCAAAATGCCCTGGTGGAGTGGAACCAGAACACTGAAAACAGTAAAAGCTGCACTGTTTTAAAAGGTTAAATGACATTCCTGTTGTGCAGGAAATGTAGTGAGAGCTGCATTAATGAACTCTTTCATCATTTAGAGGCAGGAAGCAGATGGGGGCAATGGACCATATTGAAGGGAGTTTGCACACTGGTTGACGAATGTTTCACGACTGACGGAGTGGGGACCTGTCAGGTTTTGAGGTGATATCTTTTGGTCCCGAGCCTACTGAGCTGGAGTGCCCCTGAGATCAGATTTGTGGGTTGGGTGTCTGATCTTCAGTCATGTTATTATGACTCTTCATCTGCAATGTGAAAACAAGTTTATAATAGAATCATCTAGAGATTGAACTCTATTATCTTAAATTAAAATGCTAATTGAATCGGCAGTTACGAAGTTGAGCCATAACACGACACCAGTGTAAGCCTTGAGGAGAGTTATGACATGCAGGCGATTATAAATCAGACCAGTGGCCATTGCTGATGGTGAATTATCAGGTTTAATTCCTTTATGTGCAATAATATAACAGGTCTTTTTTTTTTATTTACTTTTGGTTATACAATAATGAGTACAATTGTATGACTAGTGGTGATCTATATAATGTTTTCTGAAATGGCTTTATTAAGTTGCTTTTTATTGTATGTGCACATTTGTGAAGCACTGTGATGTCTATATTTTGATGCTTTTATGATCTTATATTTATTCATATTAATGTTAGCACCAGGAATAAAGCAGTTTGTGTACGCTGAGTTCTTGCATTATTGATGGATGAAAAACAATAATTATTCCTTACAATTAATCAGGGTAAAATTTATATTTGTGGAAAATATTATTAGCATATTTTAGTTTAGCACTAGAGCCCTAAAGTGGTGGTGAGGTTACTTGGTGCTTCTCTATATTTGAGTAATTATTTGAGTAATATGAACTACCATAAATAATATGACCAAAATGCTAACAGAGATTTATGTTGTATCTGGAGTGTCAAGCATTATATTTCCTTAATACTTGCAGAGGCAATTGACTGGCTGTTTTTTCATATAGAAGAAGGTTAATATGTACTAAATGTTTGGGATAATATATAAACTTGTTGTTTCAGCAAGTATATTTTTATATTATTGAGTACAAGTTGAGTACAAAATATCTAAGAGTATGTTACTTACTGATTATATACTGTGTGTATGTGTGTGTGTATATATATATATATATATATATATATATATATATATATATATATATATATATATATATATATATATATATATATATATATATAAAATACTGTATATAAATATAAATACAATATTGTGATGTTATACCTCGTGTGCATTAATAAAAATTTATTAAAAGCCGCATTGGTCTTTGCAATGTGAGAAATGGGAAAGCGTTAAAACAAACTCGGGAAAAAATATAACATTTACTTCACAATAAAAAGAAAGAAATAACAGAATTACAACAATGCTCGACTTGCTGAGATTGGCTGTTACATAATAGCAAAAGGAATCATTAAGTAGACACTTGAAAGTAACATTAATCAATTTATACAGCAAGAACAGTTTGAGGCTTACGAACTGTGTACACTTGAACCACCACAATCCGGGCACGAAACGGCTGTGAAGTAAAATGTGAACAGCTTGTAATGTTGACCCTGTGGAGAGCACCTGAGAGAGACTGAACTGTCCGTGCGGGCTGGGTAGTTACACCCCTGTTGGTGACGTCACATCCTGTGTCAGTGTTGCTTTCAATGAGGCACCGGCAGGGTAACAACCTCACCTGCAGTAGGCTGATGGTGGTGACGGTGGAGGCCCAGGAGGGGGGGAGGTGTTCATCTAGACAGGGGTGTCTGGACCAGACTTGAGCTCCAGCACATACGTATATGAATAACAGCACATATGTAGGGGAATTGTGTGACAAGAAAAAAAAAATTATATATAGCGTGGTTTCCTCCGAGGCTATGGGTCCCCCTTCTTCAGCTAGAGGTAGTACTCCCTTTCCTATAAAAAAAATTATATATATATATATATATATATATATATATATATATATATATATATATATATATATATATATATATATATATATATATATATATATATACACATATATACATACATACATACATACATACATACATACACATACATACATATACATACATATACATACACACACACATACACACACACACACACACACACACACACACACACACACACACACACACACACACACACACACAGTGGCACCTCTATTAACGAGTTTAATTCGTTCTGGCATGGAGCTCGTTATGTGGAAAACTTGTCTTAAGAAACAAATTTCCCCATTTAAAATAAAGGAAATAAATTTAATCTGTTCCACTCCCAAAAACATCCATACTTGTATGACATTTTTTTATGTAAATATAATACTGCACATGTAATTATAAATGTTTTGTTGTACTGTTTTCATGTTTACTTTACCTTATGAAGAGTCGTTGCTGGCTTGAGGGAGACGATGGGGAGGTGGGAAGGAGGAGAGGGGTTATGGTGTGGAAGGAGAATCCACCTCCGAGTCAGGCGGGCTCTCTCTTCTTGGGAATTTCACCCCACTGGGACCGGGTTGTGGTTCACTAGCACTGGCTCTTCTTTTCTCTACTTTTGCAAAGAATGTATCTATTGACAATTGCTTTTGTCTTTGTTTTAGGATGTTCCTAAAACAAGACAGCAAATTGTCATTAAACATGTTCAGACACCGGGTTGTTACTGCTTTATCAGGGCAGTTTTTCCAAGAATGCGGTCACCTATTCAAACATACCCAACACTTCCCTGATCTCACTGGAAGAGGCAGCATCCTCCCTTACCTCCTCATCCCCTTACTAATGGTGCAAATTGTTGATGAGGCCCTGCCATACTCTTTTGTGAGATCAGTCACACAGACACCACGCTTGTGCTTTGCTTTAATTTCCTCCTTCAAATCCACAGTAATTGTGCCTTTCTTCATCTCGACAACACTATCTTTAGCAAGCAGCTTCTTTGGTGACATCGTGCATTACAAATTGTAGTCACAAAAAAACAAAGAAAAGCACAAATAAATGCAGAGGGATGCTTGTCGTGCATGATACAACAACACTGGGGTCGAAGGCGTCCGAGAATTTGCGAGAACCCGCGAGACGCTAGGAAGCACCATGTGGTTTTGCTCGTTAATAGAGGTGAAGCTCGTCAATAGACACACATTTGCTGTGAGTGGCTTGCTCATTACTGGAAATGCTCGTAAATAGAGCCGCTCTTTAATCGAGGTGCCACTGTGTAATTACCTAAGTGTAGTTACAGGATGAGAGCTACGCTCGTGGTGTCCCGTCTTCCCAGCACTCTGTCATATAACGCTTTGAAACTACTGACGGTCTTGGCCTCCACCACCTTCTCACTTAACTTGTTCCAACCGTCTACCACTCTATTTGCGAAGGTGAATTTTCTTATATTTCTTCGGCATCTGTGTTTAGCTAGTTTAAATCTATGACCTCTTGTTCTTGAAGTGCCAAGTCTCAGGAATCCTTCCCTGTCGATTTTATCAATTCCTGTTACTATTTTGTATGTAGTTATCATATCGCCTCTTTTTCTTCTGTCTTCTAGTTTTGGCATATTTAATGCTTCCAACCTCTCCTCGTAGCTCTTGCCCTTCAGTTCTGGGAGCCACTTCGTAGCATGTCTTTGCACCTTTTCCAGTTTGTTGATGTGCTTCTTAAGATATGGGCACCACACAACAACTGCATATTCTAGCTTTGGCCTAACAAAAGTCATGAACAATTTCTTTAGTATATTGCCATCCATGTATTTAAATGCAATTCTGAAGTTAGAAAGCATCGCATAGGCTCCTTGCACAATATTCTTTATGTGGTCCTCAGGTGATAGTTTTCTATCTAGAACCACCCCTAGATCTCTTTCTTTATCAGAATTCTTTAAAGATTTCTCACATAATATATAGGTTGTATGGGGTCTATGTTCTCCTATTCCACATTCCATAACATGACATTTATTAACATTAAATTCCATTTGCCAGGTGGTGCTCCATATACTTATTTTGTCCAGGTCTTCTTGAAGGGCATGACAATCATCTAAATTTCTTATCCTTCCTATTATCTTAGCATCATCAGCAAACATGTTCATATAATTCTGTATACCAACTGGTAGATCATTTATGTACACAATAAACATCACTGGTGCAAGAACTGAACCCTGTGGTACTCCACTTGTGACATTTCTCCATTCCGATACATTGCCTCTGATTACTGCCCTCATTTTTCTATCAGTCAGAAAATTTTTCATCCATGATAGAAGCTTACCTGTCACCCCTCCAATATTTTCCAGTTTCCAGAACAACCTCTTATGTGGAACTCTGTCGAAAGCCTTTTTTAGGTCCAGATAGATGCAGTCAGCCCAACCATCTCTTTCCTGTAATATCTCTGTGGCTCGATCATAGAAACTGAGTAAATTCGATACACAGGATCTTCCAGATCGAAAACCATACTGTCTGTCTGATATTATATCATTTCTCTCCAGGTGTTCTACCCATTTAGTTTTGATTAGCTTTTCCAATACTTTCACTATTACACTTGTCAATGATACAGGTCTATAATTGAGGGGGTCTTCCCTGCTGCCACTTTTGTAGATTGGAACTATGTTAGCCTGTTTCCACACGTCTGCTACGATTCCTGTACACAGGGATGCCTGAAAGATCAGGTGAAGTGGAATGCTGAGCTCAGATGCACATTCTCTCAGAACCCATGGTGAAACGCCATCTGGGCCAGCTGCTTTGTTCTTCCCGAGCTCCTTTAGCATATTTTCCACTTCATCTCTAGACACCTCTATCCGCTCTATGTTGTTCTCTGGAATTCTTATTGTGTCTGGTTCTCTGAAGATTTCATTTTGTACAAACACACTTTGGAACTTTTCATTTAATCTTTCACACATTTCCTTTTCATTTTCCGTGAATCTGTTTCCCATTTTCAACCTCTGGATATTATCCTTTACCTGCAATTTGTTGTTTATGAATTTGTAGAATAGGCCCGGTTCTGTTTTACATTTATCTGCTATCCCTTTTTCAAAATTTCTTTCTGCCTCTCTCCTTACTGCTGTATAATTGTTATTCGCATCTTTGTATCGCTGGTATGTTTGGGGGTTTGGCCTCTTCCTATACTGATTCCATTTTTGTGTCTTTTGGTCTCTTGCCCTCTCACAATTTCTGTCGAACCAATCCTGTTTTCTGGCCCTGCATCTCTGTTTTGGTATGAATGTTTGTGTGCCTTCCTCGTATAGTTTTAAAAATTTGGCATACATTTCATTTACTTCCCTGCCTAGCAACAATTCTGTCCAATTACACTCATTAAAAAAATTTCGAAGTTCCCCATAGTTGCCTCTCCTTAAATCGAGTTTATCAACTGTTTCAATGTCCCCATTTTCTTCTAGATGATATCTTAAAGCATATTTAATGTCTAACAGGACGTGATCACTCTTTCCCAAGGGAGGAAGGTACTGGATGTCAAAAATCTCTTCTTCTTTCCTGGTGAATACTAGATCCAGTACTGACGGTACATCTCCTTCCCTCATTCTTGTGGCTTGCTTTATGTGTTGATACAAGAATGTCTCCAGAATGAGGTTCACAAATCTGCATGTCCAAAAGTCCTCCGTTCTTGCTTCATAGGCCTTCCAGTCTATTGCTCTAAAGTTGAAGTCCCCCAGTATCAACAGTCGTGATTTATCTTTATCTGCTTGTACAA